CGTGCTTGGAGGACGGGCTCGAGTTGTCCTCACTGGTCACGCAGACGCTTCTTGGGTTGACGACTTGGCTACGCCGCGGTCGTCACAGGGTTACACCTTCAGCCTTGGTTCCGGCTTTGTTTCGTGGCGGTCTACCCGCTCGTCTTCAGTTCTCAGCTCCAGTTGTGAGGCTGAGATCTACGCTTGGGCCATGGCTGCACAGGAGCTACGCTGGCTCACCTACCTGCTGACCGAATTGGGAGAGGCGCCTTGTTCTCCTCCAGTTCTGTACGTCGACAACAAGGCCATGTGTGTGAGGAGCACAGACTGGAGCACAGAACGAAGCACATTGCTTTGCGCTACTTCCTTGCTCGAGAGTTGCAGCAGCGTGGTCAGCTTCGTCTTGCTTACGTGGCCACTCGGGCCAACACTGCTGATATCTTTACCAAGGCACTTCAGCCTTATGATCACTAGCGCTTTTGTACTATGCTAGGTCTTGTGCCTACTTGGCCTCACTTGCTTACCTCTTGACTTTGCTTGTACTGTGATCTATATATACCTGCACTTGCATGCTTACCCTTGCTAGGTTGAGTTCACTGTCTTGCTTGTTCACCTTGATTTATAATCCTGCATGTGAACTGGCCTTGTGGCCTTGTACTTGTGCTCAGACTGTGTGGTGACGTTGTGATCCACCCTGAGCTTGACCTTGTCTTGTTCTCTTGCTTGTCCCCCACTTTGCCTATGGGAGTGTGTCAAAACTATATTGTAGCCTGTAGTGGGGCACTCCTTATGGGGTAAAGTATTGTTAGTTTTTGCCTGTACAAACCTTGTACTGCCCTGTTTCTAGTCATTCCTGCTTGCTTCTTCACACCACACTAGTTGGTACAGTATGACTACTCACTATATATTGTAGTTGGATAAGAGCGATACAAATGACCAACTAAAACAAAGCATGTTGTTTTGCGCAAGACATACCGTAAGTGCTTTCTAGATATGCAGTTAATAGATGTGTAACACTTTTGTATAGACAACTTATTATATACAACCCGCAAGTCCTACATGCTGGACCAAGTTACACACAAAAAACAAAACAGTCGATGGCAGTGCTGGCAGCGGCTTCAGTTCAGCGGCAGGAGCAACAGATCTTTTCACCACTGCCCTTGGCACCGTGTCCCGTTTCAAGTGCTGCAGTCTCTCGCACTGTCGCATTCGGAGCAATGCAAGGACCAGCAGCAACCTCTATTTCCAGCTCACAAATGCAAACAGTACCCACCCACACTTCTAGAACCACTTCTGCTACCCCATTGACTTCCTTGACCTCTTTGACTTCGACCTCGTCCACCTCTCCTTTCCTCTCCCTTATTCCCTATTCCTCCACCCTTCCTCCCCCAACTACCCTACCCTCGCTCCCCGCAACCCTCCCGCCTCCCCCTCCACCCTTTTCCCCCTCCTGTCCCCCTCCCGCGCTCCAGCCCCTTGCTTTGAGAACTCTCAACAACCTTCCCCCTGCCATCCCCCTCCGGTGCTATAGCCCACTTGGATTGAAACACCTGGTCGGTACAGCAGAGCATGGAAGCGAGAGAGGGGGGCGGGGAGATGCCTAGAGCCTGCAGGCGGCTGTAGCGGGGCTGGATGCGGCGGTGCAGGCTGTAGCTGAAGAAATGGGGGAAGGCTAGGGCGTGTTCAAGGGGGCGGCCCATAGGGCCAGTGAGGAAGGCGCACTTGGCTTGGATGTTGTCGGGACTGGTGGGAGTGGGGCGTGGAGGGAAAGAGGCAGGGAGGGAGAGAGTATTATGAGTCAACTCAGATTGAGAATGGGGATGGCCCATGAGACCTGTGAGGAAGGTGCACTTGGCTTAGATGTTGTCGGGACTGATGTGGGTGGGATGTGGAGGGAGCGAGGGAGGGATGGCGGGGAGGAGGGAGGAGACACGAGACAACCTTCACAAATGGTGTGGCAGGAGCAAAAAGAAACTAGCTGAGTTTAACGCAGGGATGGATGGCTGTAAGAGGATCTGCTCCTCCCATCCCAACCCATCCAACCCTGCTTGAAACCACAGCTATCTGCATACTTAGGGCGTGTCTCCATTTTGCCACTTCGTGTTTTTGCGGACGGTCCGCCTTTTCGACTTCGGACGGTCCTAAGGACTGTCCGAATCTACGGTTCGGCGCTTTTGCATCGTGCGAAGTGGATGGTGACACTTTTTCACGCTTCTACCACCTCGAGATTACTGTAGCATCGCATGGGACACTGTACATACTGTAACCCAGTTTGCCCACCTCGCAAAAGGCGCGTATGCACTCCGCGCGGATTTGACGACGTGACACGGATTATGTAATTTATTTTAGATTTTGCTCGCCAATCCCGCATGAGGACTTTCGGACGGTCCGATTGCGTTTCGGACAGTCCACTTATGACATTTTGAACCGTTGAAAGGGAAAAAGTGTCACTACCGTCCGAGTTCCTGGCGACGTCGCAAAGGTACTAACAAACAACACAACCAAACGAATTAAAAACGGTGGTAACCTTTCGTACCCCGGTCGGTCCACAATTTGGATCGTCCGTGACAAAAATTGGCAAAATGGAGACACGCCCTTATACACCTCCTGCTCTCTCCAGCTACTTGCATCCGAGAAATACAATCACAACCCTCGCCCGGCCTTCAAGCCAACCCCTTTAATCCCAACCCTACCCCAACGTCCCTTTCCACTGCCCTCTACCCGCATATTCCCTTGAAAACGCACAACACCGAACCAACCACCATGCCACGGCACAAACCCCACCCGGACCTACATCCCCCCCCCCACCCCTCTCCTCCCCCTTCCCCCCTCTAGAGACCTGAGCAGCAGTAGCGTGGGGAAGAGCATGAGCATGCGGCGAATGTCTTCTGGGGAGAATCCCAGCGCGCACAGGGAGGAGTGGTTGCGGTGCAGCAGGGGCAGCAACAGGCACAGCACGTTGGGCTGCCGTGGCAGCATTGCCGCCTGCTGCTGTGCGGTCAGACCCACTGTGTGCGAGAGGAAGAGGAGTTTTGGATGCAGCGTGTGCGGCACTGACTAGGTTAGCACCTAGAGAGGGGGTAGGGCAGTGGCGGGGAAGGGTTGGCTGCCTGCTGCTGTGGGGTCAGACCCACTGTGTGCGAGAGGAAGAGGAGTGTTAAACGTAGAGTGTGTGGTACTGACTGGGTTAGCACCCGGGGAGGGGGGGTGGCAGCGGTAAGGCTCCCTTTCTCAAGTGGTCCGTGTATTGATGTGTCACTGGCTCTCGCCATAGGCTCTGATGCTTGTGCACCAGTGAGTGCAAGGCCTGTTTCAAGTGCTGGGTGATTGGAAGAATAGAGTACAGGCACACTGCATTTCATGGTATGACTGGGCATCGGGCGCACCTGCGGTGCTAAGAAGACAATCCGACGAATTTTTAGGCTCAGACTCCTCGGAAGGTTTAAGAAGGTCAGCTGAAGAGAAGCTTTAAGACAATAATACAAAATAATGGCTGAGCTGAGGTGTTGTGGAGACTGGTCTCTTGGGTCCATTCCTGGTTTCTACTACCTGTGGAGCTGCGGAGACCAATTCGAGCAGCTGTGGTGGTGAGAGCAGGAGGTTCGTGGACGGGAATTCAATGGTAGGTAACAGCCTGTCCTCCAGGCTGCAACAAGAACATCGAATGGGGGAGAAATGGGAGACGGAAACTATATGAGCAAAGGAAAGAAGAAAAGGCAAAAATGGAGCTGGAAGCTGAAGAGATGGAAAGAAAGAGAGGGAAATAGAAAGAGAAAGAGATCCAACGAATGACCATTCAAAAGATCGGAAACAGCTGACACACAGCTGGCTCCCTCCCTCAGGCATCTCTTACATCGCTTGTCATAATCTCTTCTCCTTTTCAACCTTTACCCATCCTCCTTGCACGTGTCCATCATCCCAACCCTACACGTGTCCTCCTTCCTCGCAGGGCATCACTGGTATCGATCCATCGCTCCTCATTTCCGCACAGCTCTTGGCAGGTGAGATCACTCACGCCCTGTCCGTGCTTGTTCCACACATGTCATACTCTGCCATGCCATGCCATGTCATGCCATGCCACTCCATGCAGTTCCATGCCACGCCACGCCAGGCCATGCGACACAATGTCGTTTCTTGCCACGGCATGCCATTGCCCCACTCATCCACACGCCTTATTCGCCCCTTTGATTCGCCTCTCTCCACTGACATTTTGAAATTTCTTGCACCACATGCGGAGACACTGCAGAAACTCTCTTCTCTAGTTTCTCGCTCTCATTGCTGCTGTCATTCCAACCCACACAGAGCTTACTCTGCTCTGCTTATACCTCTGCATTTGCTCCATGTTGCTCGTCTTCTTGCGAAACCAATTTCACCATTCCGCAATCTCCTCTTGCTTCCCTCCTCTGCAACCACTACACAGATCATCCATTATTCTACTCCAAGCAACAAATAGTCTCCCATCTCCCATCCCCTCTCCTTTCCAACCACCACTACCCATTTCCTTGTATGTGCAGTCATGGTATGGATCCTCCGTTTCATGCTCCACTGCTGGTGCTGCTAGCCCCACTGGCGCTTTCACTTCTTTTCCTCTATCCCTCTCCTCTTCGTCCTCCTCATCCTCCCCTTCTGCTCCATCTGTTCCCCTTCTGCATGTTCCACAAAATATCCTGGCCACTACCAGCAGCAGCAACAGCTGCAGCACCAGCAGCAGCAACAGCAACATCCGGTGCAAAAGCATAAATACCCGCAGCAGCAGCAGCAGAAGAAGCAGCATTTACGTCTGCAGGTGACATCAACTTCAAACTCTGCATCAGTAGCAGTAGGAGCAACAACAGCAGCAACATCAGCGTCAGAGCATCAACCATCACGGTTGTTGCTGCGGGAGCTGTCGCCATCACCATCATCACCAATACCATCACCATCACCCACTTTCCCCCAGTTGCTCGTGACCCAAGCTCTCAGACCAAGCATGCATCTCCATCTCTCTGACGCCCTTCACTGGTATGCTAAGCCAAATCCACATGACGCCGTATCTTCAAAACTTGTCATTTCCGTTACGCCCTGGACTAGAATGGTAAACCGAGTCCATTCGCGTCTATTCGTTTCCATGCCAAATTCATGCTCTCATACGCCCCAACTCTCCAAAGAAAGAAAGGAATGAAGAAGGAATCACTATCTTCCCCTTCCCCTTCTCCGAACCCCTCCCCCTCTCTCCCCTTCTCCTCACTCCCTCTCCCCCCCCTCCCTCGGTCTGCCCATCACGAGGTTGCAAGCTGCCCTGCTCTTCCGCTGCCTCCCCCTCCTCCCTTTCTCCCACTACCTCTCTCGCCTGCACCTCCTCCTCTCCACCCTCGCCACCCTCCTCCCCTCCATACTCCCCATCCTCGCCCTCCTCTTCACCACCCTCTCCCTCTTCTCACTCGCCGGCACGCACCTTTTCGGTGGCCTCCTCTCCTCACACCACCCCCAGCTTCAAACCACAGACTACTTTCAATCCGGCTTCCTACCACTCAATTTCAAGGACTTCCCGGCTTCGATGGCCGTGGCTTTCAACCTGTATATTGTGAACAACTGGTATGTGATCATGGATGGGGTTGCAGCAGTGCTGCCAGCAAAGCAGCAGTGGAAGGCGCCTGTGTACTTTGCGCTGTTTTACGTGGTCATTGTGGTGTTTGTGCTCAATGTGGTGGTTGCTTTCATTCTCGAAGCCTTTGTGAGGAGTTGAGGTTCCGGGGAGGTTCACAAAGGGGAGATTGGGGACTTAGGAGGACAGGAACTATACCTGCAGCGGTGGCACCACCATCAGTGGTGGCAGCAGCAGCAGCAGCACCAATACCACCACGAGCAAAAGCACCAGCAGGTGGTTGTGATGGTTGTTTTAGTGATACATGTAGGTCCAGGCTTTTTAATTGCAGTAGCTATGATGCTATTCCTGGTACAGAAACAGGACTAGGTTCGACATTTTCCCTGTAAGACCAACCTGGAATTTTTAAGGCCTGCTGTGATGTACGGTACGGTACTTTTAAGCCTCTCTTCCTACCTTTGCCTTCCTTAGCATCTCTTCCCTAGTATATTGTTGGAAGTGTGGGGGACGGGGTTGCCCCCCACGCAAAGACCTCCCTTGACTCGGACCAAGGGAGGGTTTTTTTCTTGGAAGGTTGGGGTGACGGCGGATTGTCCGCGTCACCACACAACCGAACTTCCCCCGGTTGGGTCTGGAAAAATTGTGGGGGCGACACTTGGCAGCCCCACATGCATGCACGAAAATAGCGAGAGTGCAAGCGAATGTTACGAACATTTCGCTACACTCGCTATTGTTCCTTGTAACACATGATTGTCGGCGTGTTGAAATGAACCCAACAAAGTCCGAAATTGTGAACGCGGAAGTCGCGGAAATTGGACGCGATACTGAGTCCGAATTTGCGGCGAGTCGCGCGCGGTTCGATGTTACAATTGTGCTTGCGCGTTTTAGCTATAAAATCCAGAGAGCAAAACAGAGAGTTAACTTCAATTCGTAGCTTGTACCCATCCATATATAAACAACTATTGCTCTCTCATCTCTTGGGCATTTTCAGTGATCTAAGTTGCTATGGAATCCGTGCTCCGAGCCCGTCAGAACGATCCTAGGCTGTGGTTTTAACTCGCTAAGTTGAGTCTGTAGCATCAGTTAAACCAGGACGGTTTATTTCATGGTATCAGAGTTAGTGTAGGAGTGCTTGCTCTATCGTTGCTACGCCATGGGTTCCTCCGATACTTCGTCGACGACGAATGCGCTAACGGCCCCTCCCCCCCTGACGGACTTCTCGACAACTCCGCACGTTGTTGACTTGAGCGCGGTGCCGATTTTTAACGGGGATCATTTCTCCTCGTGGCGCTTCAAGTTAAAAGTCTACATGATGGAGCGCGAATTGTGGGGCTTCTTCGATGGGTCAGCATCGAAGCCCGCTTCGGACACTTCAACGGCAAAAAAGGAAGCGTGGGCGCGAAAGGACAAAAAGGCGTTTGCCTTTCTAAGTCTCCAACTCGTCCACATCTTGAGCCCTTGCATCGACCGTGAAGGCGCGACTCGTGAAGCGTGGAAGCGACTCGAAAGAGAGCACGTATCCAAGTCGCTTCATAGCAAGCTTCAAGCGAGCCTCGACTTCTTCACGGTGCGGATGAAGGACGGGGAGTCAATGTGCGCGTACATCAACCGAATGGAGGAGCTTGGCGAGCGCTTGGTGGAACTCGACGCGAGCGTGGAAGACAACGATTGGATCATGATGCTCCTCACGGGCCTCGGTGAAGCATGGTCAACGGTGATCACGATGTTGGATGGGACGTAAGATACATGGAAGAAGGAGCAAGTGGTGGCACGCCTCATCAACGAAGAGGCGAGGCGCACGAAATTGCATGGCGATGCAATCGGTGCAGCACACTTCTCCCGCAATGCGAAGGCGAAAGGGACGCTTCAAGCGGCGCAACGACGACAACAACCGCGGGAGTTTGAACGGGAGCGCGGCGGCCTCAAGCTCATCACGAGGAGGATTGGCCAACGCCAATCGAGCTCGGGCGCGAGAGGGTGCTTGTCGTTGTTGCAAGAAGACGGGACACTGGTGGCACGATTGTCCCGTTAAACCGGCAAATTGAAGGCCGTCTTCAAGTGACGACAACCGGCGCGCGCATGTGGCGACATGCGACGACAACGACCGGGATTTCGTCTTCGTCGCAAGTGGAACGACCGTCGGTGGTGTTGACACGTGGGTACTCGACACGGGTGCTACTCAACACATGACGGCGCGCGTGGCGCTTCTCAACAACGTGACGACGGTGGCTCCCTTTAAGCGCGTGATGTTCGGCAACCGTGACACGTTGGACGTCACGGGACAAGGCGACGTGCGGATCATGGTGGACGGCGGTCCACTCACCATCAAGAACGTCTTGGTGGTTCCCAGGCTCGGCGCTAACCTCCTCTCTGTTTACCAATTTACACGCAAGGAGATGCGTGTAAATATTGAAGGGACCACGATGGCATTGAGCACGGCGGATGGTGTACACATCGGCACGGCACGCCAAGCGGGAGGTCTCTTCGTGCTTGACGCTCTTCCAAGTGTGGCGACGGCTCAAGCGGCTACCTCGACAACCTCACTCTCAACGTGGCATAATCGGCTTGGCCACCTCCACCATGCGGCTATTCAAGCTATGGCAACGAAGGGGATTGTCGACGGCTTGAAGTTTGTGCGCTCGGGTGGGGACAACGAGAAGTGTGTCGGTTGCTTGAAGGGAAAATGGCACGGAAGCCTTTTCCACCGAGTACGAAGCCGAACGCCACCGAACCTCTCAAGCTCGTTCACACGGACTTGCGCGGACCGATCACTCCCGCGTCGAAGTTCGGCGCGCACTACGTTCTCACGCTCCTCGACGACGCGACGCGGATGTGTTGGATTCGGCTTCTCAAGCACAAGGATGCCACGTCAACCGCCATCAAGCGATGGGTCGCGGATGTGGAGACGGAAAGCGGCTTCAAGGTGAAGCGCTTTCGCTCGGATGGAGGTGGCGAATGCACCTCTCAGGAGCTTGGCGATTGGTTGAAAGGGCGTGGGACCGCGCATGAGTTCTCGACGCCGTACATGCCTCAACAAAATGGTGCCGCCGAAAGTTTGAACCGCACGCTCATAAAGTCGGCACAAAGTCTCCTCTCCCATGCTCACACGGAGAAGCATTGGTGGGGCGAGGCGGTTACGTTGGCAACTTGGATTCGCAACCGGTGCGTGACCAAGGCGTTGCCCAACAAGACGCCTCTTGAGGCTTGGAGCGGTACGAAGCCGGACGTCACCGACCTTCGCACCTTTGGGTGCACGTGCTACTACCATGTCCCGGATGCCACATGGACCAATCTCGAGGCTAAGGCGCGGGTGGCGATGTACTTGGGTCCAAGCGCGGATCACAAGGCGTGGCGTGTATGGGACTTGGAGTACGGGAAACCCGTGGTGTCGCGCGACATGGTGTTCTACGAAGACACCTTTTGTCCAAGTCCATGCACGTGCCCTCGGTCATCATTGTCCCTCCACCCTTGGATGTCACGGATAAGGCATATGAAGCTCCTACGGGTTCTCCTCCTAGTACGAATGAGGGGGAGAATGGATCGGGTGTGGTTGGAGTGAGTGGGGATGAAGAAAATGCCAAGGAAAGTGACCCTTCATCTCCTCCTCCCACTATCACTCCCACCCTCGCATCCACTCGCACTCGGAGGAACCCTCATCCCAACTCCAAGTATGATGGCTATTCTCTTGTGGCAGGGGACGATGAGGGAGGGGAGAATGCTATATGTCTTGAGGCGTACACCGATACCCCCTCCACCTACCAAGGCGCCATGAGCTCGGCGGAAGCGGCGGAATGGGAACGTGCGCTTCAAGAGGAGTACGATTTACTCATGGCGAACGACGTCTACGAGCTTGTCCCCATGCCTCCCTGCGCCTACCTCGTTGGCTCTCGTTGGGTCTTCAAGAAGAAGCTTGGGCCCAATGGAGAAGTGGAGCGGTACAAGGCGCGGTTGGTGGCGCAAGGCTACACGGAAAAGGAGGGTCTTCACTACAACGAGACGTTCGCTCCCGTCGCCAAGTCCACTACATTTCGCACCCTCTTGGCGTTGGCGGGAGCACTCGACTTGGAGGTGGAACAACTCGACGTGAAGACGGCGTTCCTCTACGGTCGTCTCAAGAAGGAGGTGTACATGAAGCAACCTCCTGGGTTCGACGACGACTCTGACCGCGTGTGCAAGCTCAAGAGAACCATCTACGGCCTCAAGCAAAGCCCTCGTGCGTGGTACACGAGGATCGACGAACACTTGCTCTCGTTGGGGTTCGTGCGAAGCAAGTGTGACCACGCGCTCTACGTGCTCAACAAGGACGAGAAGAAGCTCGTTCTTCCCCTCTACGTCGACGACCTTCCTCCCTTGTAGCGGACATGAAGACGAAGCTTGCCGCCGAATTCTCCATGCGTGACCTCGGCGCCATCTCCCACTACCTAGGGATTCATATCGATCGCGATCAAGGGAACAAGACCCTCGCTCTCCACCAACACAAGTACTTGGAGAGTGTGGTGGATCGCTTCGGCATGATCGAGAGCAAGCCTATACCGACACCCATGCAAGCGTCACGACGTCTCCTTCGCTACATTAAAACCAGAGTCCCAAACAGGCCAAAACTAGATTGAACTTCCTAACTTTGGTTGGGTGTGACCTAGTAGATACTGACTCAAACTTCCTAACTTCGAAAACCTTCGGGCAAAATTTTGCTACGCGGAATTACTGGACGATAGCAGTGAGGATTTCGTAAACAGATTTCGCGCCCATCCGAAACTAGTTGCAAACGAATTTTGACGTTGCCATCCAGATCTGCTTACACTCGCGAGGTATCCAGACTTTGCGACCCACAACCACAAATTTCGACAACACCCTGGTTCGCGAGCCAGTCACGTTTCTTGGCCCTAGCAACCTTCCTAACTTAGAAACTCTTGGACCCCAGGTTTTAAGGGAACCACTCTTATGGGGTTGCACAACGAGAAGGGAACCGTGGTGCTACAAGGCTACACAGATGCGGATTGAGCGGGAGATCCTTCAACCCGCCAAAGCACCTCGGGCTAAATCTTCACCCTCGTGCGAGGTGCAATAAGTTGGCAAAACAAGCGCCAAAACTTGATTGCACTTAACTCCACCGAAGCGGAATACGTGGCGCTCACTCGTGG